AACCAAGTCATCACCATATAATTTTCCTACACCTATCGGGAGTTGCTAGTTTCGGGTTTCACCTCTTCACCAGTGATATACCCTAATTTCCCACAAGCCCCAATGGCCATCTTTGCAGATTGTGACCATTCCAAGTAGTTTGCACCATCCAACCTAACTGTAGTAATGGTTCCAGCCCCGAAGGGGTCTCCAACACCCCCTCTCATTGGTCCCATTTCACTCCCAGGCTTATTTTCAACTCTGTGGCCCTCCATGCTTCTCAAAAAAGGTAAAGAAAATAACTAAAAATTGCAGCAAGATCAAACAAGACACCTTTTGGAACCAACAACACTTTCTTGGTGTCCYGGGCTTTCTTTCCACAAAAGATTCCTTTTCTATGGAATGGGAGAAGAGAGAGAAAAGACAACCGCCCTCTCTAGAAGCCTCCAAACCACGTGGGACTTGAATCACTCTTTACAAAAAACTCCAAGGAACCTTAAAATACTAGGGCACCTCTTCCTAGGTCAAAATTGAAGAGTCCAACAAAAACAGTACTCTTCCCCTTTCTCCAGTTTTTCCTGATTTTGATGAGAAACCCTAGACCAGCTACAGGGCACACAGATCCATCAAGAAAATCCAAAAATTGGGCTTACCTGAGAGCTTCGATCAGCCTCTTAAATCACCATGCAGTCGGCTGATCTAGGGCTGCATGAGAGAACAACTTCAAGAACCTTCAACCTGCTCTGATAACAAGTAAAGATCACTATTTGCTGATTCGGTCAAACTTCTTGTGAAAGAAAGAGGAGGAAGATGAAGATTTCAGCAGTAGAGAGGGAAGGAGAAGAAAAGAGTAGGAGGTCAACTAGGATTATGAGAAACTTAACCCTAGCCGCCTGCCCCTCATTATATTTATAATTAACTTAAAGATGAGATATTACAAAGATGCCCTTAGTAGGGCGGCTACTAAAACTGAATAGCACAACTTTTAAAAATAAAAAACTAATGGGCCTAAGGCCCAACAACTTCCTAATTAAATAAAAGCAAACTAAAGACAGACCGGGCCACTCAACAAAACAAACCGGGCCACTCAACACTATCCATCCTTGATGGGGTCTTCCTGGAGCTATCCAAGGCAGACAATAGAATCTGGAGACTCACTCCCTTGGCCTTGGGTTCCTTCACTTGTGCCTCAAGCTCTATTACAACCTTCTTCTTTTGGACTGACCTTCCCTGTTAAAGAGGTGTGGTGTCAACCTATACCTCCGAAGGTTGGGAGTTTCTGTTGGGAAGCCTTTTTGGAAAGAGTTAATATAGGAGATTTGCTTCAAAAGAAAAGACCTAATAGTTGTTTGTCTCCTCATTGGTGTGTCCTCTGTAAAGCTGATGGTGAGTTTGGATAGCACTTACTAATTTCCTATCAGTTTGCTAAACTCATTTGGTAGTGGTTTACTTCTCTGTTTGTGTGCAGGTGGACTCCCCCATTGAATGTGCAAAGCTTATTCACATCTACTCCTAATTGGTCTACAAAAAGGGCTAAGATTATGTGGTGATGTGTTAGGGCTGCAGTTTGTTGGATTATTTGGGAAGAGAAAACTCATGAATTTTCTCAGAAAAGGAGAGAAGTTTGGAAGTAATATCGGAGGTTACCCATATTAGGGTGATACATTGGTTGAAAACTTTGGACATGTTTGCAGATTTCTCAGTAGATGAGATGCTAAGAAAGTGGAAGTAGATTGCAGAATCAGCTTTAGCTAAGAAGGTTTTGAGCTCTTGTTGGACCCCTCCACCTCACGGTTTTACTAAACTGAATTTTGATGGCAGCAGTATGGGCAATCCAGGGCCATTTGGAATAGGGGGAGTCATAAGAGATGAAAAAGGGAATCTATTAGCCATGTATTCTGGTCCAATTGGGGTGGGAGACTCCTTGATGGCTGAAATACTAGCAGTTCTTGAAGGGGTACAAAGGGTTAAAGACATGAATATCAATAAATTGATCATAGGAGATTCCAAAATTGTGGTGAACTGGCTAAAAGAGGACAACTCTAGGCTTTGGAATTACAGCAATGAAAAGAGGAAATTTAAGTGGCTGGCTAAGGACTTTGAAACTCAATGTACATGGGTAAAGAGAAGTGCAAATTCATTGGCAGATGGTCTAGCTAGGCAGGGGGTGAACAGAAACTCTATTTTTTGGACTGTGTTGTAATTGCTTTTTATTTTGGGTGTACCTTGACTGTATTCGGGAGTTAAGATTGTTTAGCTCCCTTTCTATGTAATCGTCTCAATCTTTCAATAAAGTTCATCGTTATTGATAAAAAAAAGTAACTCATAAATTTGGCATCTCTATCTGAAACAATAGTATTAGTTAGGCAATGCAAACACACAACTTCCTTAAAGAATAGTTGTGTAATGTGTACAGCATCAGATGTCTTGCTACTAGGAATGAAATGAGCCATTTTGGATAAGCGGTCAACCACAACATAAATGGAATCATGCCTCGGTAAAAAGATGAGAGATGGTGAGAGATGGTTGGTTCTAGGGATGAGTAGCACAAAATCCATGCTTTGTTCTAGGGTGGTTGCAGGATAATGAGTAGCTCTGTGGTCTCATAGAAATGAGTTAAAGATATTTAAATGGCTGACTAGAGGCTTGGATGTGAGGGTTTGAATGGGTACAAAGGGAAGTGAATAGCACGGTTGATGTTTTAGCCACATAAGTGGTAGGAAGAGATCATTTATTTTGGATGCAACTGTAGGAAAGTAAAAAGATGAGAGATGGGTCCTTATCTCTTCTAAGGGTGAATGTATATGTACATTGTTCTTGTAAGGGCAGCGCAATGCATGAGGCTCCCGCTAATGCAGGGGTTTGGGGAGGGACTGAAGTACACAGTCTTACCCCTGCACATACATTATTCTTAATTAATAAAATTAATTTGATCATAAAAATAATAAGAATATAAGGGCCTGTTCATTTGCTCTGAAGTCTGACATCTGAAAGTGCAATAATTACATTAAGAGGTATATTGGTATTGGTGAACTTTTCTTTCCTCTGAACTCTGAATGTAGGGAATGTTGTTCTGAACTCTGAATTCTGAATTCTGAAAATTATCAAATATCCATTTTGACCCCATATATGAGAGTTTTTATTTGTCTTTTTTGGGGGTATCATTGGAAAACAAAAACTTGTATGATTGCACTTTAAGAGATAAGAGATAAGAGGAAACGAACAACTATTTTTCTCTTAAAGTTAAAAGATTCCTCTTAAGAGATAAGAGTTAAGGGGAAACGAACAGGCCCTAAGTAGTTGTTCAAAAAACACGGATGTAAGGTTTCTAGATGAGTCCTTTGTATTTCTTTACTGGAAAGCTGAGCATATGTAGTCTAATATTTTTTTGATCAGAAACACAAAAATTGATTCATTAAATTTAAAAAGAAGATATAAACAAGAACTCGTGGGCAGAAACAACATGCCCAAGAAGAACTATCCCAATATTTAGAAAACAGCCCAGAATATGGATTGTCTCTGAATTCCTTGTTTAGCTAAACCATCGGCCATACTGTTTGCAGATCTCTTAATCCACTTTATTTGAACTATCATGTCTTTATATATCTGTTTGAAGTTCTTGAACTCATTCCTTAGCTTCCATGTTACTTTTTCCCCTTTTCAGCCAACCCACAACTATTTTTGAATCACCTTCAATAATCAGCCTATCAATCCCCATTTCTTTAACTTTCTCTACTCCATACACTGCTGCCATCAGTTCTGATCTCACCACATCTCCATGCTGAACAGGACCTGAATACATGGCTAGAATGTTTCCATCTTCTTCCCTAATTACCCCACCAATACCTGTTGGGCCAGGGTTGCCCATGCAACTACTATCAAAGTTCAATTTCTTCCACCCAACACATGAAAGGCTGTCTCACCATACAACTTACATAAGAAGCACCAACTTGGGGACAAGCACCAATTGGTCTTTTCCTTTGAAGCAATCCGCAGGTGTTAATGGAGCCATGAAGCACTTCCCAATAGAAAGCATTGACTTTTGGAGGAATAGGCCGAGATCAAATCTCCATAATAAGGAAAGGAGAGTGGGAGGTGGCTACAAGAGAATTCATAAAAGATTTGCAGGAAAATGGCCCTGATTGATTATGGGCCCACACTCTAGAATCTGAACCCCCCCTCCTCAAAGCCCAGAGTTATCAAATACAGGTTTTCCTTTGAAACTAGAGAGATCAAAGAGAGAAGGAAAGACCTCTTATGTAGTCTAATATTAACAACTTATACTTTGCACTGAAACTGTTGTATTATTATTATTATCAGCAACACAGAAGAGAATTCTTTGTACTGAAACTGTTCTGTTTCTATCATCAAGTTTTGGAGTTTTGGATGATGCACATGGACTGCAATAATGTTTGTATTGTCAGGATTTTTCATACATGCAAAAGAACCTTCTATTACACCTGCTTAGTTGATGATTAAGCATTTTTTCTGAACAAGCTGATTGTTGAAGGAAATTCCAAACTAATGGTGGATTGGCTAGAGTCTGCAAAACTGTTATTAGGGCTTATAAGGATGAAATTAAGAAGCTTAAGTGGTTAACCAATACTATGACAGTGAGTGTGCATTGGGAAAGGAGGTTTGCAAATAACCTGGTTCATTTTTCTAGCTAAACAAGGGGTGTATAGGGGTCACTGGATCAGTTATATTGGGTTCAATAATAATGCTTTTTTAGTTTTCTATGGATGAGGTGAACCTCACACCTCTCCCTTGGGATGTTTGTAATGATGTATAATATTGATCTTCTGATGAATTTAAGTTACTTATCAAAAAGGTTTAGCATTTCTTCTGTTCTCTTTTTCTTTGTGAAGTATATATTTGTGAATGAAAGAAAATTGATACATTTTCTGCCTTATTTTTCTTCAAGCTCTTTTTTTTTAAAATTTTTTAAGCTATCGACTTTTGTTGTCACTTGCTTTCCTTCTCAATATCACATCACGAGGAATATCTTGAACTTTTTCCAGCAGTGATGATTTGTCTCTTGAAGGACTTCAAGAAGAACTGGAAGAATGTAAGAATGATGATGTAAGTAATCAAGGTTTTATTTTCTTTTAGGTCTTACTGGCCTTATGAAGCATCATTATATTGTTTTTCTGATGGACATTCTTTCATGAGAAATTAACAGTTCTATAAAAAAGAAAGCAATTTTCTGAATCAATGATATCTTGAATATCATATATTATAATTTATAAATATTTAAATGATATCAGATAATCTAATTATTTGCAAATATCTTTTCATCTATCCAAATATCTATCTACTCATTTGCTTCAGACATATTTTTTGTTTTTCCATCAGAAACAACAACATTCATTGCATGAACGTGCATAAAACCCACAAAACAACAAGTACTCACTTCTTAGGACGAATGGTTGATTTACATACTACTAATCTAGAATCTAGACTCTAGACCCTCCTCAGTCTCCTGGTCTTTTATTGATAAAAAATGGTACAGGAAAATAGAAGGCTCAACTCAAAACAGTTGTCCATGGATCCCTTGATCAAACTGATCCATGTTATTGAGCCTGTACTTTGGCCCAACTCCTGGTATTCTTGTGTCCCTAGAAGCTCCTTCCTCCTCTGTCCTTTGTGGCTCTTCCCTTCAGCAAATGTTCCTGATTTTGTAGGCTCTTTCCTTTCGTCCCTCCAGGGATAATAGTCTCTCCTTGTCTCGCCCTGGCATCAGGTTCAGCTCTTTCCTGTGCCAGTGCCTTTCTTCTCACTTCTGTGTAATTGTGAAGCAAGTTCGCTAAGGAAGAAAGCACTTTCTTTTTTAGTTAGGTGGAGACTCTTTTGTGATTATAGTGGAGGGCAATGTTCTGAAAACTGTATTGTATTGTAAATCGTAGAGAAAATTGAATTGAAAAACTTGTAAAAAATAAAATATAGATATGCTAAAGGCAAAAAATATATAGAAAAGTGATTCTACCCAAATTTTAATCCATATCTACCATGTATGAACCTACATCAACAGAATTTACCACTTATACAATAGAAGTCTTAAGATGATATAATCAAGTTTGACTTGAAAGTCAAATAACCCACATACCATGACTCTTTATCCTATCTATGATGGAAAATAAACTCAATATATGGTTTAAATAATGTAAATAAGTTAATTTCTAGTAAGCTCTTTAAAACAAGTCACCTTTGAGGCTTTGACAAAATAAATATTAACAAAATAAAATGACAAAGTAGAGAACTAATTCTTAATTGAATTGATTTGAATCGTAAGAATTGTATAAATCATAAGGTTTATGATTCAAACTGTAGGATTCAAATAATAATCGTAAGATTTTTGCAAAAAAGGATTCGAACATAAGATTCGAATCGAAACCCTTGGGATTTGTGATTCAAATCATGAATCGTATCGTAAATCGTAAGATTTTAATGACATTGGTAAGGGAAGAGAAGAAACACACTTGTAAGAGAAACTGCCTGTGAGCGGTTAGCTGGTGGAGGTTGAGACATAGTGACAGACATGGTGGTAGAGGGAGAAAGGAAACACTATGCGAATGACACACTTCCACTTGAAACACTTCAGGAGGAAGGTTTCTTCAAATTTTAAATTTTCAAATGTCAAAATTTAATCAGTTTTTTTTTTTTTGATCAGAAACGATAACTTTCATTACAGATAAATTAAATTGAAACAGTAGTCAACCCTTATTAGAAGAGGTTGATCCAATAAACATCAAATATTACAACACTGCCCAATAAAGTCTCTTCCTTACAGTCCCTTGTTTTGCTAGGGCATCAGCAAAACCATTTGCTGATCTCCTTACCCACTTGAAACAAACACCCACCTCCCTTATTATTCTAAGAATTTCCCTTATCAACTGTCTATATTGCCAAATTCCTAGCTGCCCTGATTGTATCCACCCAATTACCAATTTGGAGTCTCCCTCTATCTCAATCTGCTGTAGCCCCAATTGTTTGGCCAGTTTTACACCTTGATGTAGTGCCAAGATTTCTGCTCTTAAGGAGTCTCCAACTCCTACTGGACTTGAATATAGAGCTATTATCTTGCCTTCATTATCTCTGAAAACACCTCTTATTACCAGATGGGACCGGATTTCCTATAGAGCTTCCATCAAAGTTCAGTTTCACCCTTTGTTGTGCCGGTGGGGACCAAACTTCCTGTATMATAGCTTTGGAAGTAGTAGTAGATGCCACAATACCCCAACTTCTATAAATCTATTCAGCTGATAAATCCTTAAAAAGATCATAGGATTTCAACCAATGGATAACCTTATTAGTTCTCCTTAACCTCTTGGATCTACAACTACCTTTGAAGATCCTATTGTTTCTTTCCTCCCACACTGACCACAATACAATAACTCTAGTGGCTCTCCACATAATCCTTCCACGAACCGTTGGTTGCCTGCAAAACGCTGGATCAAAGAGGTTCACCACGCTCGAGGAGGGATTCCAACTGCAGCCAAAGAGAGAAGAGAACCAAGACCAAATAAAGAACACAAAGGGACATGAGATTAGTAAATGTGAAATTGTCTCACTAGAACCCAAACAAAGACAACAAACATGGGGGGAGTGGCACATATTTGGCCTCTTTTTTTGCAATAAATCCAAGGTGTTGAGTTTTTGGAGTGCCACTTCCCAGCAAAAGGCCTGAATTTTTTTGGGGGTACAGGGCTACCTCACACCTCCTTTGAAGTAAAGTTCCCTACAAGGTTAGCGGTCTAAAGCAAAATGTTATAGAAAGAAGAGCAATTGAAAAAACCAGAAGGGGAAGGTTTCCAAATTCTGCTATCTCTACAAGACTGATTAAGAAATACTTCCCCTAACTAAGTGATCAAATCATCAACCATCCCCATTTCAGAATCCCTTAGACCTCTTCTCAAGCCCAAATCCCAGGAGTTATCAACAAACACTGAAGAGATCACTTTTCTTTTGTTTTCAGCAAGGAATAAATAGAAGGGAAGGAAATCTATCTCTAAGGGAGTTTTCACCAACCCAAACATCTTCCCAAAACAAGACTTTATTTCAGTGCAAACATCATATTTGAAATAAGGGAGCATAAGAGGCAAAATACCTTGAATAGCTTTCCAAGGAGAACATTGAGAAGCCCCAGGGTCGAGTCCTGCATCCCAACCATTATTTGCCAATCCATGAATACTAACAATCACTCTAGACCAAAGTCTATCCTGTTCCATCGGTAGTCTAAAAATCTGTTTCCCTAGTAGAGCCGTGTTTCTTAATCTTATATTTCCTAACCCAAGGTCTCCATCATCCCTTCTCCTAGAAACCACCTCCCACTTCACTAAGTGATCCTTCTTAGTGTCCCTTGGTTCCCACAAGAAATCCCTCATTATCTTCTCTAATTGGTTAGCTACTTTCATTGGTACTTTTAAGGTAGACAGGAAATAAACTGGTAGGTTGGCCAAGGTTGACTTGATTAAGGTTATCCTACCCCCTAAAGAGATGTAATTCCTCTTCCAATTTGCTAACCTCTTGGAGAATCTTTCAATCATAGGGTACCAAAAACTCTCAACCATTGGGTTCCCTCCCAGTGGTAGCCCCAAATATTGTAAAGGCCAGTCCCCCACTTCACACCCCAAAATCCTAACTAGGGAATCCACCTCCTCTCCCCCTAAATTGAGCCCTACCACAACTTTTTCCCCAGTTCACTTTAAGATTGGACTTCCTTTCAAATTGAAGCACTAGACTCTTTAAGTTCCGTAATTCCCCTTCCTCCCCGTCACAAAACAAGATGATGTCATCCACAAATTGCAAGTGTGTGACCACCACCTCCTCCCTACCAATCCTCCAACCTCTTATCAAATTGTTAGCATCAGCCCTCGAAATCATGGCACTCAAAACATCAGTTACTAGGGTAAAGAGGAATGGGGGCAACGGATCTCCTTGCCTAATACCCCTCTTTGCAGGAAAGAAACCCCTAGCTACACCATTCACTAGTATTGAGAAAATGACATGAAGAAATGCATTCCTTCTCCCATTTGCACCATCTCTCCCCAAATCTTTTCCGCTTGAGAACCTCTATTTAAAAATCCCAGTCCACCATGTCATATGCCTTTTCAAGATCCAATTTGCAAAYCAACCCCTTTTCCTTTCTCCTCCTCTTCACCTCAACACATTCATTGGCAATAAGTATTTGATCTACAATTTGTCTTCCTTCTACAAAGGCCCCTTGATAGGGTGAGATTAGAGATGGGAGAATCTTTTTTAATCTTAGCGCTAGGACCTTAGAGATGATCTTATACATGCTTCCCACCAAGCTTATAGGTCTGAAATCCTTTGGTTGGAGAGCGTCCTTCTTAGGAACCAAGGCAATAAAAGTTGCATTTGCTCCCAAGTTAAATTTTCCCCTCTCATAGAACTCTTCAAAAACCTCCAACATATCCTCTCTAATTATCTCCCAACAATCTTGATAAAAGGCCATTGAAAAACCATCAGGCCTAGGAGCTTTAGATCGATCCATGGAGAAGATTGCATTTCTCACTTCTTGGGCCTCAAATCTTTTTTCAAAAGATTCCAATAAGACACTATTTTCCACCCACCACTCCAAGTCCTCTAAGCTCAAATTAGGTCTCCCTGGGCTGTCATACACTAATTTGAAGTGATTAACCAAAGCTTGAGCTATATCCTCTTCCCTTGTGAGCAATTGTCCATCACACTCCAATTTTGAAATAGAATTCTTCCTTTTCCTCCCATTTGCCAACGAATGAGAAAACCTTGTATTGATGTCCCCTTCCTTTAGCCATTTGCACATGGTTTTTGCTTCCAACTTATCTCCTCCTTCCTAAGAAGATCTTCTAGTTCCTGTTTCAAATTCCATCTTTCCACCCTACCCTCTTCCCCCAACCTTCTTTCAACTTCTAGTCCATCTAACTCCTGCACTCTCAGACTGATTTTCACTTTCCTTTCCTCTATTCTACCAAAAACTTCTTTGTTCCAAATCTTGAGTCTAGCTTTCAAGAGTTGTAGTTTCTTGTAAAACGTATACCCCTTCCATTTGGAATTCCACTTGGTCCACTTCCCACCATTCTTTTACCTTATCTAGAAACTCTGGATGAAGTAACCACATATTTTCAAACCTAAAAGGGCACGGGCCTCCATCCACTCTTTCTTGAGACAATCTGATTAAGCAATGATCTGAAGCAGGTCTCGGCAATGCTGTAACACCTAAAATTCCCCATTCAGCTTCCCAATCCACTGTAAAGAGGAACCTATCTAAATAACAACAGGTAGGGCTTTCTTGGAAGTTTGACTAGGTAAAATTTGCTTGCTGAAGAGGGAGGTCCCACAATTCAAAATTCTCCACAAAGAGATTAAACTTTCTCATGCTAGATGTAATCCTATGACTGGGGTTATTGGACTCGTTCAAGAATCTTATTACGTTGAAATCTCCACGCAAACACCAAGGGACATCCCACAAACCCCTAACGGCTGCTAGTTCTTCCCAAAAACCTTCCTTTTCCCTATAAGAGGTGGGACCATAGACATTAGTTAACACCTAAGCCCACCCATCTTCCTTTCTCTTCAGTTTTATTGACACCGAGAAGTTCCCAATTAATTCTTCACACTTGCAGTTTTCATTTCTCCACAAAGTAATAATTCCCCCTGAAGCTCCCCAAGATTGTGCAAAGGCCCAACTCAAATTTCTTGTTGACCAGATRCTCCTCACCCATTTCTTGTCCACCTCAGTCAATTTTGATTCTTGTATTAAGACCACATCTGGCTTTTCTCTTCTCAAGAAGTCTTTGATCACTCACCTTTTCTTTAAACTCCCCAAACCCCTTATGTTCCAGCTTATTAATTTCATGGACAAACATTTCAGGTTTCCCCAACCACACCACCCTCTTTACTCTTTTTTTTATCCTTCCTACCCCCACTCGCTTTATCATAATCTACCCCCCTCTTCAACCTCTCCACCTCACTCAGCTTTTTCTTCCTCTTTTTAGAAAGCTCTCCTACCGTCTTACTAGACTCTTCCACCTTCTCCTTTCCTTCTAGTTTCTTACCTGACCCCTTCTTCTTTTTCCATTGTCCTTTTGATTTTACACTATCCACTTTTCTCCATTGTATTGGGATTTTGAATAATCTCCTCAACCCTACCCTCTTTCTCATTCAGCTCCTCTTCCATTCTGATTCTAAATAGTTCCATGATCAACTCCCAAATTTGGTCCCCCAGTTCTCTCTCTTCTGCTTCAGAATTTATCTCCCTCACTACCTCTGTCACTTGCCCTGAATCAAATGAATTGGCAGACTTTATATGAATTGGCAGACTTTAATCAGTTATAGGCCTGGAACCAGGTCCGGTCCCAGTCTAAGGGCCTAATAGAGGTGCCTAGCCTGGCCCATGATCACTTCTAGCAACTATGCACCTTATACTTGCCCATGGGAATTTTCTTCCCCCCTCTCCACTTGCTTGTTGTAATAAGACTTCAACAGAGAAAATACCATCCTTGCACCATCTCCATTCCCTTCTATCAGCAGCTTCTGATCTGCTTGAGTTTAAGCCTATATATCTTCTGCAAAAGGTAAGCCATTTGCCCCATCTCTCAATCATTTAAGTTCCTCCTAAAAGTAGGGTTCCATACTGTTCTATCATTGTGAAAGGAGAATATATGCTTCTTTGTTCTGAGCTATATCAAACAATCAGAGGTACAACTCCTTCAAGCTAGTCCCTTCACACCACGGGTCAGACCAAAACCTTACCCTTGTTCCATCACCAATGTTATATTTGATACCCTTCAAAAGATCCAACTTAGCTATTTTTTTTTCAAAAAAAAAAGGAAAAATTCAACTTAGTTCATTGGATTACTTTCCACAAGGCGTAACCAGAACTAACATTTACATCAGCAGGGTCCCATCTACCATCCCTTTGGTCATACTTACCATGTATATAACTTCTCTCCTCAAGCTAACTGCCTCATTATATCCCCAATGCTAGGTACCCAATAAAGCCTTGTTAAAATACTTCAATCTTCTTATTCCCAAGCTGCCACTCTTTCTTGGTTGGCAAACCCTATTCCAACTAGTAGCAATGAACGAAACCAGTAAAATAAGGGGTGTCTAATGAATTGACCCGTCCCCAAAGGGATATCTATAGATTCTATACTATTATAAAGTGGACACTTGCCTTGGTTTTGGTGCAGGTCATAAAGTTAATTTGATTTTATAATGTTATTTACCCTTTATTTGAACACGTGCATAGCAGGTGCCTTTTACACTAGTCTTTTATTAAGAAGAGCTTTATATTTACAATTACAGAAATGCCCTTTTTGGGAAAAACAAAGACATAAAAAGAATAGTATTGGTAGAAGATTCTAAGTGTATACTAATACTAAACTCTACTAGTATAACATATCTCTCAAAACATCTTTCATATAATTGGCATTTTCTTTTTGCCATGCTTCTTTTTATGCTATGTTTTCATTGATGATCCTTTTGTGGGGTCATATTATTCAATGGATTGCCTCTCATGTGGACCTTATGATTTATTGTTTCATTTAGGTGGTTGCAAATATATTGTCTAAAGGCACAAAACTGCGGGAGTATGCAAAGGGTGTTGAAAACAATGTACGACAGGTTGAATTGGACTCTATTCAGGTTGGTAGGTTTGAGTTATATATAAACACCTTTTGGCAATTTGTAACTCTGGTACTTATTTGAAATGCATAAAGGAACCCTTAGTGCTATCTTGCCATGATGCAGGGTATCTTTGTACACTTTTGTTGGCACATTTCATGACAATTTGTATTTTTCCTCACTTCACTTCATTTTGCATGAAATCCATACAGTATGCTATGCTAATTTTATGAATTTGTTCCCAAAATGCCAAAGGTTAGGACCATATCTAGTCTACCCCTCCCAAGACCCTAGATAGCTAGGACCAATATTGGGTAATGGCCTTTAAGTGTTGTCATTACTTCGATATGTTGTTATCACAGTTTGTAATAGGTAAAGAAATAAATGAAAGAGGGTAAACTACTTAACCTATTGGCTGCTTTTTTCTGATCCCAGATTTCCCTTTTAGGGTTCCCTTATGGATCAAATAGTAACTGTAATGGCTTTGTATGCATCCTATGGTCTAGAAAAGTCAGTAAGGTAGTTATGAATAGACCTGTTCATGGCCCAGGCTGGGCTGGGATTGGGCCAGGGTTTGCCTCTTTATAAACAAAAAATGTCCAGGCCTGAGCTCGAGCCTGGCCTATATAAAGCCTGAAGCCTGGGCCCAAGGCTGAAGCCCGATCTAGACAGATATTTTATAATAATATATTATTATTATTACTGTTAATATATTATATAATATATAATATTCTATATAACACTTTTTTGCTACTAATTTTATTATTAGGCTTAAACTTGGCTTGGCAGGGGCAGGACCTACAAAAAATTACAAATGGGTCTACAAGAGGAAAAGATTGAGAGGAATCGGGACATCTGGTTCTGAACGTAGGGGGGCATTGATGCAAGTGCAGACCTCGATCTCACTTTTGGAGAAGGAACAACAGGAAAACGAGTTAAGTGGTGGGAGTCCTGAGTCTGATATGAACTGTTTGCAGCAAAATAATGATGAAAATAATGGGGATTTAGGTGAAGTGAATATCCAGAAAATAGTGAAAAGAGAGGTTTTGGTAAATGCCTGGGTCTGTGCTTTTGGGGTGGGGAGGAGTTTGCCAGAAGGGCTTTTGAGGAATTCAAAAGAAAGAAGGAAGAGAAGTTGAAGAAAGTCTATCGGGAATGAGCTAAGTCATGGGATGAGGAGATTCCAGATCAGGAAGACCGTTCACAGATGAAGACTGAAGTTTTGGTTGGACGGTGAGGAGGGGTTTCTGATTAGGTCAGATGTTGGTTCAAGGGCCTTTATTTTTTTTGGGTGTTTTTTGTTGGGGGTCTTTGCTTTAATCTTCCACTTGGAATGGGTGGGATATCCTCATGTTTGTAAAGTGGGAGGTTTGCGGGTCTATTTGGGGGTCCTGAGGCTGTTCTTCTGGTGATGCCTTATCACCATTCTGATGTACTTCTTCTCTTTTCTTTTTAATAAATTTTTCTTTATTCTTCAAAAAAGGGGTTTTTTACCATTCACTCCACCTCAGAATTCATAGTTTGATCGTACAGTTTGGGTCAGTGTCAAGGGGGGAATGATTCCCCTTTGAGGGGGGAGATGCTGTTTGTAGGGGGAGCTGGGAATAAATACATTTGGACAAACAATTTCCCAATTCTGAGGTGGAGTGGACTGTAAAAAGGGCAAAAAAAAAACCATACTATGTTACAATTTAATCCATCAATCCATGCTTAGATAGCCCCACACTATTCCATCTCTTTCTGTCCTGGTTGAAGCTTAAGCATCTGCAAGAATATTAGCTATGTGAGGGACCTGCTTGAATGAGCAGTTCATGGTGGCTCTTAATTTCTTAGCTTCTCCAATCGCTAGAGTGGAAATTATTTCCAGTCTCAGATTGCCATTGTTATGGTTTTTGCTTGGCTCATTTTAAAAGCTATTTCGCATATTGTGGCTAGTTGGATGGATGGACTCCGGGATCTCTTAGAGACTAGGATACTTCATTAGAGAGGCAATATCCCTATCTTTAAGTCCTTGTTCCACTAATAAACTTTCCACTCTCAGAGTCTCAGTTGTGGAGTATATTTTCTTTCAGTCTATCATTGCATTACTAATCAGTAACTTCTCTTCCTCTTGTAATTGAATATGTATCATTTGAAAATTTGACTTTTCTAACCATACAAATGGTGCTTTGATCTTAAGATTAGTCCATTTGTCTTGCACTCTTGCTTTTCTGTGTGGTATGCCAAGATTAAACACTCGATATGCGGTATCCAAATGGTGTTCCAAATCCAGTTCGTATGTGAAGATTGAATATGTGAACCAATTATTGGCATTGCTCTTAAGCTCTAGATGGAAAATTTTCCATCATTTATGAAGAACCAATACAAATCACATACAATAAATAATAACTGCTTTTCCAATCTCCTTTGAAGAACCTTATCAAAAGGGTAAAGTTAAAAAAAATTGAAGCTTTTCTATATTCAAACTTAGTGCACTTCTCCTTTTGCATGTATTCATCTACTCTTTCTCTTCTATTTGAATTATACAGGATTATATAAAAGAGAGTGATAATTTAGTCTCCCTTCGAGATCAAATTCATGATTGCGACAGCATCTTATCCCAGATGGAAACCCTTCTTGGTGGATTTCAGGTATCTTGTTATACTACTTTCTTTTTTCTTAAATTATCAACATCACAAAAAATGAATTTTTACGTGCTATCAGTGGTTCCATGGTTGAAAGGCTTTCTGGTTGTTCTTGGTGCTGATTTTTATTTTTAAACAAGATTTGCAAAATAAAGGATTTTCAAGCTATTGTTTATAGCTTGGATATTATATCAGTTATTTTGCTTTATGCCCAACTTCTTTTCTTTTCTTGGTAGAAATGCTCAACTTCTTTTGGTTGCAACATTCTCCTACCTCAGTCCTGGCATTAAGCAGAGTGGAATGGTGAAAGAGGATTCATGTAGCCAACACCATATTGTTGGGATAAGGCTTGGATGATGCTGATGATGAATGGAGAAAGCGGAATGTTGGTGAAGGGTAGATTACTTATGTCCTGATTTTATGCAACACAATTACAATTTACCACATCACCCTTCTCTTGAGTCGAAGATTGAATTTCAACCTGCATGTATAGTGTCTGAAGAAGGAGAAAAATTGAAAAAGATATGACTTCTCCAGAAAAACTGCCCTTTATTCTGACTCTCTAAAATGAACTAGAGAAATTTGATTTATTTTTCAGCCTAATATCCTGTTACTGTAATATCAAGTAATTTTTTTAGCTTGAAGTGCATGTGGACTATTAACCATGTGAAATATTCTCATCCTTTATGGAGTTTTCTTAATTTTCTCACTCATTGCATAAGTTTCACCATGGATGGTCCTTGCTCCTCTCCATTATTCAATCTTCAGATTCTTGTGTGCATTGCTGTTTATTTATTTCTCTTTATATGCCCTATTACTATGAGTAATTGGATTTCTTATTATAGAAATCATTAATATTTACAGAAATCTTGTGCTAGGCTGAGATTGGTTCTATTAGTTCAGAAATAAAAAGTCTTCAGGAGAAGTCCATGGATATGGGTCTGAAGCTGAAGAATCGGAAGGTATGAATTGTACAAATTTCTATTTTATAATATGTGCTATAAAGTAGGAACTGCAAGAAATTGTCTTGTGGAATGGTACTTGGATTTCACCAGAAAGAACTTTGGTGTGATAAACATGACTATTTTATGTCAGCACAACAATCTGTTTATTCCCATTTCCCGATTTCTTACATGACTATTTTACCTTTTATAAAGTTGTGACTTGGTTCTATACAACAATTGTCTTACCAGTTGATGGCACTTTTTCTCTTTTTGATCAATGACAACAATTTCATTAGCATCTAAAAACAGAAAAATTATACAAGTGCTATACCGAGTTCAAAATATCACAATACATTGGTATATAACTTATGGTATGTATCAGTTTTTGAACCCACCAAAATGCTATATACAGGGATTTAGGGGGTTCTTTATGTTTAAACATTAGAACCCTCCCACCATGTTTATCATTGAAATACCAGACTAAAAAATTTGAAAAAAAAGAGTATCAGCTCTTTGAATCATGTAATATGCAAGTTTTGTGTATTGCACATGTTGATTCTTTGAACCATGTGGTACACTTGAGATGGGAAGCCTAAGGAAGAAAATAAACAAGATCTTATTTCCTGTTCCCCCTCAACATTGAGAGGCCAGCAAGTCATATATAAACAAAAGAGTGCAAAATCACCAGCAAAGAAAAATTTATAACCTACAAAATAACTACAATGAATTAACCACATTGAACAAGGTCACTCCTCCCCTATAAAGGCCTCTGTCCACAGGACAAGTGAAACATGCTGAAGAAAGAAAAATAACTGCACCTACCTCCCTTAGCAGCCAAGAACCCTTTTGCATATCATCTCCGCCGTTGCTTTCTCACATCCACACATTACTGATGGGAGCCCTTTCCTCTCCTCCCTCTTTCTTTGGACCAATGTTTTAAAATGTGGAGGTGTGGCATGAAGTGTTCCACTAACTGGATGCCTGAGGCATAGTTCAGAACGTAAGAGGTGAAAGCCTCCCGGACACAAGGGGGTGTAAGCCTCCTTAAGAGGAGGGGGATGAGGAGGAAGGAGGAGAGGGAGAAGGAAGAAGAGGAAAGAGGATTTCATTTTTCTTTATTTTTTGTCTTTTTGTATGAGGTGTGCGTGAGGCGCACGAGGCATATGCCTCTAGCAAGCCTCATGAAAAAGGCATATGAAGCGTATGTGTCTTGCATACATCTCAGAGGTATCAACACCTCTGGCATATGCCTTAGGGTGTTTTGGTGGAACCTCACCTGGAGGTGCACCTCCAGGCTTATGCTTCTTACGCCTTTTAAAACACTTCTTTGGACTAAGTTTTCCACCTAGAATCCATATACTTACATGGTGTTATTATTGATCTCCTTATTTCTTCTGCCAATTTGCTTCACATGTATTCCAACATCTTGGAATAATCATGCTGCATAGCGTGCATTGTATTTAAGGAAAAAATATCAAATTTGTAGTTAGTCATTCCATACTCTTAATTTTTTTGATCATTTTACCTTACTTTTAGGTTCATTTTATCCACCTTTTTAGGTATGGTCCTAGTGTTGTTAAGCCTGTCAGCTTCTCCAATTCTGCTTGCACCTCCTCCAACTAGTGATCAGCCAGAAAAGTCTGGATGACCTGTTTTGATATAGAAACTATAAAAGAAAGAGAAGAAAAGGTTTCAGCTGAGAAAGAAAGAGAAGAGAGATAGAAGAGAATGGGTGAAGCCAAATTAGGTCTGACTGCCCCTTTCATTAGATTATATACTCACAAATAAGAGGGTTCAAAGACAAGTATGCCCTTAGTAAGTCGGCTACTTGCAAGAACTGAATAAGCACTCTTAACTTAAAAATAAACTAATGGGCCTAAGGCCCAATAACTCCCTAACCATGTTATGTAAATACAAACAAGTAATATCTGCTCAAAACTCAATGCTCCCCCTCAAGTTGGGAATAAGTGTTACACATTCCCAACTTGCGTAGATCATGCTCCAGCTTGTTTCTTGCAACACCCTTTGTAAGAACATCAGTAAGCTGCAAGTTAGATGCAATATATGGTAAGAAAACTTCTTTGGATGTCATCTTTTCCCTTATAGTGTGTCTATCCACTTCTATATGCTTCATTCTATCATGCTGAATTGGGTTGTGGGTAATGTTAATTGTTGCAATATAGCATCATAGGTTCTTCGGCCTCAACTCCAATCTCCCCTAACAAAGAACGGATCCAAAGGAGCTTTGAAACACCATGTGCCATGGCTCTGTATTTAGCTTCTGCACTTGACCTTGCCACAATTGTGTGTTTCTTACTCTTCTATGAAATTAGATTACCTCCAACAAGAATGCAAACCCCTGATGTAGATCTTGTCATCTAGATACCCTGCCTAATCAACATTTGTATAAGCTTCTAACTTCAATTGTCTATGGACAACAAACAATATGCCTCTACTTGGGTGTCTCTTCAAATATGAAAATATCCTGTCAATAGCCTCCCAATGCTGAACTTGTTGGGCATGCATGTATTGATTCACCACATTCATTGCATAAGAGATGTCTGGTCGTGTCATACATAAGTATAGCAACTGCCCCACTAACCTTTGATACCTTCCAACATCCTTCACTAGTTCACCTTTCGAAGCATTTATCTTGTGGTTCTGATCAATAGGTGTATCATTTGCCCTTGCCCCAAGTTTTTCTGTCTCTTATAGTAGATCTAGAACATACTTCCTCTTTAAGATAAAGATCCCATGCTTGGACCTTGCCACCTCAATGCATAGAAAGTACTTCATCTCCCCAAGATCCTTAATCTAAAACTCTTTGTGCAGATTCTTTTTCAAGGTATCAATCTCGCTTAGATCATTTCCTATGACTACAATGTCATCAACATACACTATCAAAACTAACACTAGTGACCCCCTCTTTTTCACAAAAAGAGTGTGATCAGGTTGAGTTTGAGTGTAGCCAAATACAACCAATGCACTTCTAAACCTGTCAAACCAAGCTCTAGGTGATTGCTTCAGACCATATAGAGACTTCTTCAACCTGCATACCTTTCCTTTTTCCACATCATTGTAGAAGCCATCTGGAAGATCCATATACACCTTGCAAGTCCCCATTGAGAAAAGCATTCTTCACATCAAGTTGGAAGAGTGACCAAGAGTTTGTAGCTGCTAGCGATAGAAGAATCTGGATTGAGCTCATCTTTTCCACTGGTGCAAAAGTTTCCAAGTAATCTATGCCATAAGTCTGAGTGTACCCTTTTGCAACCAGCGTTGCCTTGTACCTTTCCATACTCTCATCAGCCTTGTACTTCATTGTATAAACCCATCTACATACAATTGTCTCCTTGCCATTAGGCAAATCCACAATCTCCCACGTTTGACTTTTAATCAATGCTTTCATTTCCTCCTGCATTGTTGTCTTCCACTTCGGTTTGGAGAGAGCCTCACTAACACTCTTGGGTATAGACATGGGGTCAAGGGATGAAAGGAAGGTTCGGTAGGAAGGAGATAATCCACTATAGGAAAGATAGTGTGAGATGCAATGAGCAGTACACTTCCTCTTCTTTTTTTTGAGTGTAATAGGGAGATCAAGGCCATCTGCAATGGTGTTAGGAGCAAGGTTAGTAGTATCAATAGGAACTAAACCATCAGAGGAAACAAGAGGCATACTTGGGTTTGTGTCAATCGAACTTGGAATTTCCGATGAGCCGATAGGGAGTGATGTGGGTTCCTTTGCTGTGGAATCAACCTCCCTGTGCTATTATAGGCGCTGTCGTATAAAACACTAAGAGGCATGACACAATGGAGGTGGCAAAGTGGATGAGATATGTAGGTCAGACACTGGAGTGGACAAAGGAGCTATAACAGGAAGTGGTATAGATTGCTCACTTCTTTCTCCAAAACACTCCCCTTGTGAGGAACCCCTCAAGCAAAAAAGGTGTGGACTCAAAAAAGGTAACATTCATAGTAACATATCGACTCTCGGAGATTGGATCATAACAACAATACCCCTTTTGATTTCCTGCATACCCAAGGAAGGCACACTTCTTCACCTTAGGGTCTAGCTTTGAGCGAGCAGTGAGGACCAAGAACATGGACAAAGCATACACATCCAAACACCCTTAGAGGAATATGGAACATCTCCCCCTCAGGAAAAAGAAGGCTGAACGGAGTGCTATATTGAAGGACACGAGAAGGCATCCGATTAATCAAGAAAGCTACTGTAAGAACTACATCACCCCAAAAATGAACTGGAACAATAGAGCTCAATATCATGCTTTTTGCTACTTCTACAATATGTTTGTTCTTCCTTTTTGCTACACCATTCTGTTGTGGAGTGTATATACAACTGCTCTGATTGACTACACCATGCTCCAATAGGTATGATGCCAGTTTTTCTTTTTCAAAGTATTCCTTGGCATTGTCTGATCTAAATATTTTCACTTGTACCCCAAACTGCGTCAGCACCATCCGATGGAATTGAACCAAAGGTGGTACCTCATCAAATATATCCAAGAGTATCGAGAATAATCATCCACAAACAGAAGAAAATACCGATAGCCACCCATAGAGGAAACACATCAGTATGAACAATATCAAAAACAGAAGAACATCTTTTATTATTTGCTTTAAAGGAATGTCTACAATGCTTTCCAAGTTGACAACCCTCACACTCCAAGCTAGACCAACTGACATACTCAAACAATTTGGGAAACAAAAAATGCAAAGAAGAAAAAGACAAATGCCCTAACCGATTATGCAAAAGTATAATCTGACTCACTGACTCTGACTCAATGCTCCTACTGACATGATGACTGGGAAGCACATCAAGAAGATAGATTCCATTCACCTCACTACCACTCCCAATTGTTCTCTTTGATTCCAGATCCTACAAAACACAATGACAAGGAGAAAAAATTATTGAACAGTTCAAATTCTTTGTCAAACTACTAACAGATAAAAAGATTAGTGCCTAGTCTAGGAACATGAAGGACAGAAGGTAGGGTAAT